ATTTTGGTGCATTGAGCTTATCTTCTACTCTGATGAGTCCCTCAGTCCCTGCCGCTGAAAAACAGCCCCTCAGCATGAGGCTGCTGCCAGCACACTTTACTTTTGGGGTGGTACTCTTCAGGTGATGAGCAGTGCCCGGTTTCCTTCAAACATGATGCTTGGAATTTCAGTTCTTTAGACCAGAGAATCTTGTTTCTCACAATCTGATGGTTATTTTAGGTGCTTTTTGCAAATTCCAGGTGTGTTTTCATGTGTCTTTACTGAGGAGAGGATTGAGTTTGGCCACACCACCATAAAGACCAGATCGGTGGAGTGTTGCAGTGATGTTTGTCCTTCTGTAGGTTTCTCCTCATCTCCATATATGATCATACAGCTCAATTAGAGTGGCCATCAGGTTCTTGGTCACCAGTCTAACCAAAGCCCTTCTCCATCGATTGCTCAGTTTGGCCAGGAGGCCAGCACTAGGAAGAGTCCTGGTTGTTTCAAACATCTTCCATTAAGGGTAACAGAGACTACATGCTTCTGTGACCGTTTAATAAAGCAGAATTTTTTTTCTGAACTCCTCCCCAGATATGTGGCTTGACTCAATCCTGTCTCTGAGCGCTACAGGTAGTTCTTTTGACCTCGGGGCTTGGTTTTTGCTCTGATATGCATTATCAGCTGTTAGAACTTTTATTAAGATGCGTGTGCCTTTCCAGATCATATCCATTCAATTTAATTTGCCACAGGTTAACTTCACTCGAAGTGTAGTGACATCTACAAGCAATATGAATGCTCCTGAGCTAAATTTGAACTGTCCCAGATAAGGGTATGAATACTTACGCAATGGAATCATTTAAGTTTTTTATTTGTAATAAATTTGCGAAGATGTTAAAAACCAGTTTTTTGCTCTACCATTATGGTGTATGGAGTATAGATTGATGTGGAAATAAAGTAATTTAAAGCAGTTTAGCATAAGGCAGCAATATAACAAAGCGTGAAAAAAATGAAGGCACTGCAAATTGCAAGGCACTGTAGACTTTGTTGAAAGACTAAGGTCATTCATTCAGAGTATTCACAAAAACCTTTAATTGAACTAACATTTCAGGAAAAAAGTGATTTTTTTTCTCTAATACATGTGTATCACAGTTACTCGCATCTCCAGAGAATATCATGAGTAAAAAAATAACTTAAGTATATTCCCATTCATACTTAGCAATGGTAAACGTGACTTTCTGTTTCATTGGGCTGTAATTCTCAGGTGACACAAGTCCAAAATTTCTATTGTCTATGGGAAAGATCTGAGAATACAGTAATGATGTGCAAGTTGATGAGCTACTAAAAGGTCAACTAAAGGTTGATGAGCTGAACATATCAGAAAATGGCTATAAGATAACAGCTCAACAGTCAAAATGACCATTTCCTCCATTCAGGTTAATAATTAAAATGTGGAAATGGAGATTTTAATGACTGGTCTGGAAGAGCTACTACATGTCTATAGTGGCCCAACAATAAGGATGATTGGCCCAAGAATTTTCATCAATCATGGTTTGAACTGCAGATGTTGCATCTTGATCTTTTCCAGTGGACATGTCACGGACTGTGTGGCAGCACAGAGTAGAGCTACTCAACACTGCAAAGATGTGTATGAGGATGATACCTTGAGGTGTGTGGCTCGTTTGAAAGCTTTATTGCAGACACGGCACACATGGCAGCGGTCCTTTCCATGAGCCTGTCTGCAGTGTCTTCTGAGAGCATTTGCTGTCAGCAGCACTTGACTGCAGTAGTAACACTGGTGCTTTTGCTGTATCTCTGCTTCCTTCACCTCCGTCTGGTTATCTATGATCTGTGTGCATAAATGAAATGCACATCGCAGCTAAAATATAAGTGATAAATGACAGACTGTCTCACAATAAACAGCTGAGAAATGTAGACATCAGCTTCACTTGAATAAACATTGTACAAGATATTTTTTTTGATGATTTTAAAACCCACGAATGACATTCTGATATTTCATACTTTAAGTTTATTTATACAGCGTTTTTCATAATACACATTGCTTTAAATCAGCTTTAGAGATTGGATTATTATATTGTGATATGTGTGATTACTGATAGAAAATCACAGTTTTTCGGGTTGGAAAGAGACTTTGAGTACAGCTTTCTAGTGCAAGAAATCACCCACGATTCATAGCAACTGAGCAGGGATTCCAAAAATGTGATTTTGAGTTATTTCTCTGATAGAGAATAACATGGCAATTGCTCTTGATAATCTGTTAAAAGCATTTATCACTTGTGTGCATTTACCTGTGTGCTCAGGTTGAGAGAAACCGTATCCAGTATCTGTGTGTCCGCTAGAGTCAGAGTCACGCTGCCATCGCTGGCCATGCCCGCTGTTGACATTACCAGGCTCTGAGATGACATGCCTGTCTGGGATAGGGAGGTGCTGGGTGCCAGTGCATTGACTGATGGGAAGATTTAATCAGAGACACGACTAAACAATTGGATCAAGAAAATATGGACATGCGTCATTCTAAACATCCTCACTGAGAACTCAATTCAATCCAGTCAATTTTCTCCTATGGACAATTTTCAGGTCAACTACTGTCATGGCAGAGACGATCTTGCTTGGGTAAGTTAGTCACAAAACTGGCAACATGAATGTAGATACTTATTCATTAAACATTCGGCTTTATGCCACATGCATCTATTCATACCCTTAACTGAGCTTTCTATTATCATCACAGAAATACACTGTCTGTAACAGAAAGTGCACACAATAATCATGTACAACCACATGCTGTCTAGTTTGTCTACTTGCGTAGTTAGTAAGATTTCCTGCAGTAAACTAGACAGAACATGCAATTAACAGCCTATTCACAATTGAGAAAGTATAGAACTATATCTATACATGTCTGCAGTCAAACCACTAGCTTTTATAGGGTACAACAGGGCTTAAGGCACCCTTTAAGAAAAATCAGCTTTTTTACCACTTCCATAGTGTATGATTGAAGAAAAAAATCTATATCTTTTATTTAACTGTGAGAGAAAAGAAACAAAAAGCAGTCTGATTTGTTTAAAAATGACAAATGTATATACTTCACACTTGGGGTAAATGCTCACCAGCATATGGCAAAATACCCTCAGTAATATCTATCAGTAATTTATTAAAAAAATATATAATTTCTAAATTAATACTTGTTCAAAACAATCACCTAAGCACAGTTTGTACCATATTCTGTATTGAAAAATAAAATAATTGAAATTTGTTCAACCATTTTAAATTCATGTAATTAAAAAAAACGATTCTGAAAGCTTCTTACACTGATTAAAGGACATCCCCAAATAATTTCATTTGGCTTTACAGTAGTAATGATACCTATATTTTATAATATGATGAATATGCTTAAATGGTCTCATTATTAAGAAGGTAATCATCTCTAAGATAGTCATCCATCTTAATAAATGATATTGACCATTTGAGTCAAACCATGTCACGTCAACAAATGAAAAAGCCAGATAATTATTATAATGACAAATTGTACATTTCTGCATTCAAAGTGAAACACAGATGTTTAGGCAAGTGCTGCAGGGACTTTTTGTGCCATCTAGTGGTTTAGACAATAATAAAATCAAATGCACCTTTTACCCCATGAACCTTTAGTTCTACTGTACCATAAACATACACGAACACATTACTCTACATCAGGGGTCTTCCACTAAAACTGCTCGAGGTCCAGTAATGAACCCTCCTCACCAGCCAAGGTCTAAAAACATGAATTGATGGTTTTTGCCAAGACCAAGGTACCTACAGGATATTTAAGCTCAAATTTAAGACTTTTTAAGAAAAAACTAAAAATTTTATAAAGTGATAAACGTAACATTTCAGCCTTTAAACCATTTCTTTTTAAGAGTCGAAAGTATCAATAATTTTATTAATTTAAACAATTATTACAGCCAACTTTCCTACTTTTTCAGAATGCCATTGTTTTTCACTCACTGAAAGTTTCATCTGTCTGCGCATCGCTTTCTGCTCTCTTCACTGCACACACAACCGCACGTCTGAACGTAGCAACTAGCAAGAGTTAACTGTAGTAGCAACCTGTGGTCTGACTGCTCTGAGCTGACCTTGATGTGCTTGATATAAATTTGGTTTTATTAGAAAACAGCATTTGGGATTTATTTATTTAATTATGTCAAAATACTTAGGGGTCCGGATGGAAGCATCTCATGTTACGGATTCGGACTGGAGTCCACCAGCTGGCGACCCCTGCTCTACATGTCAGATCCTCAAAACTATTATTATTATTTTTTTTAATTATTCAGCTCTCACCAGTTATAGCTGAGGGAGGAGGACTCTGAGGAAGGAGCTGCTCATTGCTTATCGTCAGACTGCTGCTGCCTGAAGCAAGTCTGATCTCAGTGTTCATATTTGGAGTAGAGGTTGGACAGTGCTGGGGTAACAGGTCCTGACCTTTAGACACAGCCAAAGAACAGATAAATGAAGAGATTAGCATTTGCTTTGACATGGTTATATGAACATACTTTCCAGAAGGCCAACAATTCACTAAAAATGTTTTTTTATTGGTCTTATGAAGTATTCTAATTTGTTGAGATAGTGAATTGGTGGGTTTTTGTGAAATGTGAGCCAAAATCATCACAATTAAAAGAACCAAAGACTTAAACTACTTCAGTCTGTGTGCATAGAATTTATTTAATACACGAGTTTCACAATTTGAGTTGAATTACTGAAATAAATGAACTTTTCCACGACATTCTAATTTATTGAGATGCACCTGTATTTATGATTTAGCACATAACTGCATCAAAATTGCAAGTGGAAAAAAATAGTGTGTAATGCAGTGTCACCTTTGGGGTTTGTTTATTGGGGTGTTTAACCTGAGCAGTATAATCAACAGAAAGTGCAGCAGTGTGTCTGTATAGTTTGCAAGGGTGTGTGTGAGTACCTGCTATAGTGAGTGTGATCTCTGATGTACTGGAGACAGGTGTAGACGCAACAGCACTGGTCTGTACTAAAGCTTGTGTCAGACTGGAATTATTAATAGTCAGTGTGATTTCTGAAGCACCGTTGCCACCGCTTACAAGACCTGCAGCATTAGACACTTGTGACAGCTGCTGAGAACCTGACAAGACAAACATATTGATACAAGACATGTTACATCTGGCCAAAGAACACTGACCCAGATTTAACAATTGACATTTAACATTTATCAGCATTTAAGTTGTAAAGTCAGAGTTAGCTCTCAGGTTGGTGTTTTAGCACCCTAATATAAGCCAAATTGTTAGGTGAACCCTTTAAAAACAACTTTTTTTTCTTCATGTTTTTGAGTTTCTCAGTCAAAAAGTTGAAATTGTGTTTTTGGTTGTTAGTTTTTTTTGGATTTCAATTGCTAGTTTGTTAAATTATTAGAAAGTAATGCACACCCGAGGCACATCACCACCTCGGGTGTGCATTATTTTCTAATAATTCAATGTCTCATCTTTAATTATTCCTTACTTGACGTTATTTGCACTTCAGTTTGCAAAGTCATTTCAAGTATTCATAGAATTTTTTTTGTGTCTGTGCCAATAATTTTATAATAAAATTACAATAATTACTAATAAAAATATAAGTAAAATTACAATAAAATTGACCTCAAACACGATAAGGTTTTCTGTTTTTACATGAATCTTTAGGGATTTTTTTCTATAGTGTTGACTTTTAGCAAAATGCATTGTATACAAAGTGGGCAAAAAAAGAAAAAAGAAAAACATACCCATAATTTTAAAACAAAAGGAGGACTATGAGATCTCTATCCTCCTTTATTTTAAGTCTAGGGATTTATTTATTTATTTATTTATTTTTTGCAGCTTTATCACCACCAGGTGAAAATACACTAAGGAAAATAATCATATATGTAATAAATGACTTTTTAGTTAACAAAGTAAATAAAATGTTTTACCAGAAAATATTATTTCAGTTTTTCAGCTTCAAAATTTAAATATTCCATGTTTAACTCAATGTGTTACTTTGTAATTATTTGTGGCATTTACCTGAAAGTGAAAACTGTTTCAAAATAAATCATACACCATTTTTTAGTGTATTATTTATGTCTGTAAAACAACCAGTATGGGACAAGTTAAATGCTGAAGTTTAAAACTTAGGGTTAGTGATATGTACAAAACACCCAACACCAAATAGGAGTAATAGTGATAACTGACTCCACTATAAAATATAAACACAAACTCATGATTTACACAGAACTATATTCCTATATACAACTCACCTGAGTGTGTCTTAATATGACAGTCCAATGTGGATTTCACTGTGAAACACTTTTCACACTCATCGCACTTGTATGGTTTCTCGCCTGTATGTATCCGGATGTGTCTGAAAAATGAAAGACAGCTTACCCTCAAGATAGACATTTAGGCTAGCAATGCTAAATTCTTTCTCATGAGTCGATTCCCTGATGATGTGAATTATGATTGGGAATTATGACAAAAGATGACCCTATTCATAAATGGCTCATATATCGCCTTCATTTCTCTTAAACATGTCATTTCATTGTCCAGAATTGTCACTCTTCTGCTTGAATGAGCAATCCTTGCTCTTTAGATGCAGGTAAAAATTCTACCACTATTCTGTTCTGTATTGTGTTTATAAACCATACTGAAAGATTTGTAAACCGTTACTTCATTTTGGCAAATCAGAGTTTTATAAACTATACCCTTAATTTAGCAATCCGTACTAACAGATCCATTAAACTGCACCCGAAATTTTGCACTCTGTATGTCCGATTTGCAATCCTCACGTACCACAAATTTGTAGCCACTTATCTCATTTTAGAAATCTTTGCCCACTGATTCAAAGCAAAAACATATAAACAAACTCTTGTCGGATTTATTTACACACATTATAGATACCATATTTGATATGGTTACTGTGAATGCATTGGCTGACGTTTTTTGCTGTTACTTTCATTGGCCTTTATTGGTCACACATTTATTTATTTAGCAATAGGGGTGGGAATCAGAGGGTACCACACGATACACGATACTTGGCTCACGATACCGATATTATCACAATACAGCAATTCTGTGATAATCAATATATTGCAAGACAATCCTATAATTATACATCACAATATTTAACTATGAAAACAAACTGTCTGTAAAAAAGGTTAAGTGCAGGTTTTCTCTCTTTATTCAAGTCCAAACTGCTGAAAATTCGGAAAAAATTTAAATTCTCTCATTTACTCACTCTCAAGTTATTTTAAACCCGAATGAGTTTCTTTCATCTGTTGAACAAAACAGTTATTTTGAAGAATGTGGGCAACCAAACAGTTGCTGGTCCCCAGTGACTTCCCTAGTATTTTTTCCCTATCAAAGTTAATGGGGACCAGCAACTGTTTGGTTTCCCACATTCTTTAAAATATCTTTTGTGTTCTGTACAAAATAGAATTTAATGTTTGGGACAACACGAGAGTGGATAAATAATGACAAAATTTTCATTTTTTTGGGTGAACTATTCCTTTAATGACAAGCGGCAGCATGTTTAGAAAAATTTGTCTGCTGTCGCTTTAAGAGCTGCACGCATCTAACATACAGGCACGTTTTTCTCTCAACGGCTTACTTTCACTTTAGACATAACCAACTGTTTATATGTAAACCTTGTGTGTTTTTGAAAATCAGATGCGAAAGATAACTCAGTCCAGTAATCAGGCGCTGTTTGACAGGCTTTTTAGTGTGCGCGCTTTAGGTGTACGCGCTCAAAAAAGCTAATTGCAGAACAGCACGCAAATTAAATGTTTAACCGGCAAAGCACTTGCAAATAATGCAGTTCTTGCAATTGGCGTACTCTCTATCGATTTTGTTTGTTCCATCGATGGTACAAAAGCCGAAGTGGGTCCAGACTTTGCTGTCCACCATCCCATTAAAAATCACTTTTTCTTTTAGGCTAATTAACTTACTTTCACGTTTCCCTCATTCATGTGTTGAGCGCCACCTCGAGGAGTCATGAAGTAGCGACGCTGGGAGCAAGAAAAACTATTTAGAGCGCTTTATTTTTATTAATTAAAATATCGATATTTGGCGCCAGCATATCGATTCTCGTATCACACGGAGAAGGACAACAATATATCGCCCTATCGATGTTTTGTCCCACCCCCATTTAGCAGATCTTTTCTCCAAAGCAACTTGCGCACAAAACACAACATAATATTCCCTTTCACCAATGAAAAATACAAGCCGAACACATTTCCAAGAGACGTTTCATCAGTAATCCCCATTCACTTCCAATAAAACATTTTGTTCTCACACTTTTACAGGCTATTAGTTAAACTCTACATTAAACTGGTTAAAGTTAGTTGTTTGTGAACATTGGTTTGACATGTATTATAATTTTTCCACTTCGTGGATCGATTCTGAGATTTTCGGAATGCATCGTGATTCTCTCGAATTGAATTTGCAATATTCTACGCACCAATGTCAAAATAAAACGTACAGACAATTAACATTAGCTTATACGATAACATGTAACATATAAGATGATTACCTCACCAGGTCACTGGGCTTCTTGAAGCTCTTTGGGCAGAATTGGCAACGGTTTGCAAACTTTGGCTCTATGTTGAGCTCAACACATTTGTCTTTAACTTCACTGATTCGATCTCGTTCAGCAGCTGTCTGGGCAAGAACCTTCTCTGATAGAGATGCCTCATCCCCAGGGTCTCTCTTCGCCAGCTCTGCTGTCTGCTCTTCAGTTAACGTGATGATACCGTTGCGGTTTCTTTTCATCCCTGAGCGGTCGGACCCATCATCCTCCTCCTCACCGGCTTCATCAGTTTCCAGAACTATGGACATCAACTATATGTTAACATCAGTAATGATTTAAGATGATTTCACATAACTAACCTTCCTGTGTAAAGTTCCATTTAATTTTACAACTTGCAACCCTGCTGAAAAAAAAGCTAAAACCAGCCTAAGCTGGTTGGCTGGTTTTAGCTGGTCATCCAGCTTGGTCAAAGCTGGTCAGCAGGCTGGTTTTAGAGGGGTTTTGGCCACTTACTTTGCTGGTCAGGCTGGGAGACCAGCTGGAACAACCAGCTAAAACCAGCTTGACCAGCCAACCAGCTTAGGCTGGTTTTAGCTGTTTTTTTCAGCAGCAAATATAAACCCTAAAATGACTGTAAAATTGATTTGAAGGGGTCATGAATTGAACTTTTTTTTAAATGTTGTTTTCTGAGGTTCACTTACAAGGTTTTCACATTAAAAAAAAACAAACAAAAAACTACATTTAGAAATGTTCTATTCTGATTTAAACCCTATGATTTAAGCGCTGTTTAAAAGGGGTGTGTCTCTTTGTTGGGTGTGTCTGTTGGATGCACAAATTCATTGCAACTCGATATCTGCACCTGCAAGTGCTTTCATAACAGCAGAAATTGATGGTTCATTCAGAAATTGTTGCCTCAGTTTGTCAGTACCTTTGGGACCTACAGCATGCAGGAGTTTCATGTGTTTCCTGCGCAGCATGACGGTGCGGAAGCTTTCCTCGCAGACTGTGCACTTGAAGGGCTTTGTGTTCAAGTGGATGATCGTGTGTCGGTTCAGACTACCGTTAGTGGTGAAGCAGGTGTCACAAATGTTACACTTATAAGCCTTCACTCCTGAGAAAGCAGAAGAACAGCCACAGAGGAGAAATTTACAGTATATGACCAGGCCAGGGTTTCAGAATGTATGATAAAATAATGTGTTTTTGGTAACACTTTACAATAAGGTCCCATTGTTTAACATTAGTTAATGCATTAACTGCCATTAACTAACAATGACCAATATGTTTGTTACAGTATTTATTCATGTTTCAGTTAATAAAAATATAAGGTAACACTTTATTTTAAGGTGTCCTTGTTACACGTTACATGTACTTACTATTATAATAACAATTAATTATGCATAATTACATGCAAGTAACCCTAAGCCAAACCCGAATCCTAATCCTAACCATATAGTAAGAACATGTAGTTAATTAATATTACTCAATACTTAAATGTATAATTACACTGTAACAAGGACATATAACTATTCTTTGTTAGTTCATGTTAGCATAAGTTCATTAATTAATATTAAGAGATACAACTTTAGATTTTAATAATGTATGAAATGTTAAAACATACATGAACTAACAATGAAGAATACTTCTAAAGCATGTATTAATCTTAGTTAATGTCACCTGTGTGCGTGTTCAGGTGTGATTTGAGCACTCCAGCGGACACAAAGCTCCTCCCACAGAGGTTACAGCGATAAGGTTTCTCTCCAGTGTGAGAGCGCACATGCTGCTTTAGGTGACTGGACTTTTTAAAGCTCTTATCACAAATACTGCACCTAAGAAACATAACACATATTACTGCACAAACTGAACTAAATACATGTAGCAGTAGTACAACCATTTATTGCGCATAGAAAGATTTCTGGTTTAAGTAGATATTGGGACAAGTGAAGTACAAATCTTTGTTTACAGAGAAAATGATACTAGGATTTGTGCAAAATTTGCAAGGATTTTCTCAAATCAACTGTTTTTCATGAATAGTTAACAAGACAGGCATTCTGACATTTAGTGTGTGCTTGCCCATTTAAGCGCAATAAACTGAAACAGAACTCAATTCAGTACTCGCGCTCTTTATGTGAGCGTGCTTAAGATGTGTGTCAGACAGTAAGTGAGTACCGCATTATGTTCTTGTTCGCTTATTGTGCTTATTAACTTTTTTTTTTTCAAACATCAAGTGCATCGAACACTGCATTTTCGCATTCATGCATATTTCTTTACAACACGGATATACTTAAATATTACAGCAAAATCTATTTACAGAAATTGCAAAAGAATAACTACTGTACAACAGGAGTTTACAAGAACAAAATAGTTGTTTTCCTTTACAGGTTTATTGCTTTTTTTTTTTTTATCATTTTATCAACAATTTAGTAATGGCAGGGCTTTATTTTGTAAAATGGTACAAAGACACACATTCATTGTATTCAAGACATATTCATGTTTAAGGTATGTGAACTTACCGATAGACCCTCTTGTTGATTTCATCCTCAGACAGTAAGTGAGTACCGCATTATGTTCTTGTTCGCTTATTGTGCTTATTAACTTTTTTTTTTTCAAACATCAAGTGCATCGAACACTGCATTTTCGCATTCATGCATATTTCTTTACAACACGGATATACTTAAATATTACAGCAAAATCTATTTACAGAAGTTGCAAAAGAATAACTACTGTACAACAGGAGTTTACAAGAACAAAATAGTTGTTTTCCTTTACAGGTTTATTGCTTTTTTTATCATTTTATCAACAATTTAGTAATGGCAGGGCTTTATTTTGTAAAATGGTACAAAGACACACATTCATTGTATTCAAGACATATTCATGTTTAAGGTATGTGAACTTACCGATAGACTCTCTTGTTGATTTCATCCTCATCCTGGAAGTCTTGTGTCTGGATAGACAGCTGTAGCTCTCCTTGACTCGCCTCCTGCAATAAAGCACTCGTCTACACACACACACACACACACACACGCACACGCACACGCACACGCACACGCACAATTAACATAACATTATTTAATCTCACTTTAATTTCATGTATGTTTTCTGTTTTCTGACTCTTACAAAAAAAAGTGCTGTGGTGGTACAATGGTAGATGGACATGTCAAGATGGTAATATATGATATATATGGTATTAAGAGATACAACTTTAGATTTTAATAATGTATGAAATGTTAAAACATACATGAACTAACAATGAAGAATACTTCTAAAGCATGTATTAATCTTAGTTAATGTCACCTGTGTGCGTGTTCAGGTGTGATTTGAGCACTCCAGCGGACACAAAGCTCCTCCCACAGAGGTTACAGCGATAAGGTTTCTCTCCAGTGTGAGAGCGCACATGCTGCTTTAGGTGACTGGACTTTTTAAAGCTCTTATCACAAATACTGCACCTAAGAAACATAACACATATTACTGCACAAACTGAACTAAATACATGTAGCAGTAGTACAACCATTTATTGCGCATAGAAAGATTTCTGGTTTAAGTAGATATTGGGACAAGTGAAGTACAAATCTTTGTTTACAGAGAAAATGATACTAGGATTTGTGCAAAATTTGCAAGGATTTTCTCAAATCAACTGTTTTTCATGAATAGTTAACAAGACAGGCATTCTGACATTTAGTGTGTGCTTGCCCATTTAAGCGCAATAAACTGAAACAGAACTCAATTCAGTACTCGCGCTCTTTATGTGAGCGTGCTTAAGATGTGTGTCAGACAGTAAGTGAGTACCGCATTATGTTCTTGTTCGCTTATTGTGCTTATTAACTTTTTTTTTTTCAAACATCAAGTGCATCGAACACTGCATTTTCGCATTCATGCATATTTCTTTACAACACGGATATACTTAAATATTACAGCAAAATCTATTTACAGAAATTGCAAAAGAATAACTACTGTACAACAGGAGTTTACAAGAACAAAATAGTTGTTTTCCTTTACAGGTTTATTGCTTTTTTTTTTATCATTTTATCAACAATTTAGTAATGGCAGGGCTTTATTTTGTAAAATGGTACAAAGACACACATTCATTGTATTCAAGACATATTCATGTTTAAGGTATGTGAACTTACCGATAGACTCTCTTGTTGATTTCATCCTCATCCTGGAAGTCTTGTGTCTGGATAGACAGCTGTAGCTCTCCTTGACTCGCCTCCTGCAAAAACGCTCGCCTATACACACACACACACACACACACACACACACACACACACACACACGCACACGCACACGCACACGCATACACACACACACGCACACACACAAACAATTAACATAACATTATTTAATCTCACTTTAATTTCATGTATGTTTTCTGTTTTCTGAATCTTACAAAAAAAAGTGCTGTGGTGGTACAATGGTAGATGGACATGTCAAGATGGTAATATATGATATATATGGTGTGCTAATCCTATGGAACATTTACATTTATTTACATTTAGCAGATGCTTTTATCCAAAGTGACTTACAATAGAGGAGCAGTAAGTCATCACAGAGCCAATAATAATCACAATGTACAATGCCAGGTTTCTTGGAAAGCTGCCCGGTACCCTATAACCTACACATGTCTTGGAAATTGAAACTATTTAACTGTGGACAATTATTTTTTTGTAATTAAATATCTCAAATATTTTCACCATGCAAAGGCAATACATTTATGGTGAAAAAAAGGAAAACAGGAAGTGTCTCATATTATTCTAAGTGCATTGAGTGATTTCGATCAAACTCGAGCTGTATGTTTGGTCAAGGAGGCTGATCACATGGACGTAACTATTGTGAGTCATGGTCATAGTGCCACTAACTGTCAGCAGAAAATGCCTCACTCACAAAAAGGCTTTGAAATAGTTCTCTGGTATTTCTAGTCCTCTTATATTTTCATACTTGGTCAAAATAATATCAAGGCCTGGCTGATATCTCAAATAGTGCTAACCTTCCTTTAAGACAGAGGACAGAGGACAAGTGTGCAATTTTCTGTTTTCTAGTGCAGTGATTCCCAACCCTGGTTACAGAGAACACCCAATACTGCAAACTTCTATGTTTACATATTTAAAAACTGCTGATTTAACTGAAATGGGTGTGTCCGATAAGGGAGATCTCCATATCGTGTACGGGGTATTGTAGAACCAGGTTTGGGAATCACAGCTGTTATATATGTTCGGCTTTATGTGCAGTAGATTTGGGGGGTGATGTGTTTGTACCTCGGAGTGTGTTACATGCAGTAGGTTGGGAGGGTGGTAGCTGGCCGTCAAGGCTTGTGACTCCAGTGTGCTTGAGTCCTGAAGCTGCTGTACTGTAGAGAAATGTGCCTGCTGAGTAAATCCCTCAGCTATAGTGAAACCTGCAACAGAGCACACATATATTTTAAACCAGGGTTCCTCAAATTTAGCCCTGGAGGGCTACTGCCCGGCAGAATTTAGCTCAAACTCTGATCAAACTCACCTAACTGTAATTTTCTATTAACTTTTTTTAAATAAGGCCTTTTCTATAAACGGCTATCTTAAACCAACCCTCTAATGGCTCGCATAAGTTTAAGAATGAGTTTAGCACAGATATATTTTCACTTGCCTACACTTGAACACTGACCAAGTGCTTGAGAGTTTCACTCTCCATCTTTAATGCACACTATTCAATATCAATGAATATCAATGTATTTGGTGCAACGTATTTTAAGCACCACAATCTCTAGTGTGTAGGCACAAAACTCCCCATCACTTGGCTGAGAGCTCTCTTTTTCCCCCCTCACAAGCACACAACAAATTAATGATTGATTTTATTCGTCATGCACAACACATAGAGCGATGCACGCAGAGATGTGCGGTTTAGATCGGGTGTAAATGTCAACATCATATGTGACCCTGGACCACAAAACCAGTCTTAAGTGTCAATTTTTCAAAATTGAGATTTATACATCACCTGAAAATAATATAGCTTTCCATTGATGTATGGTTTGTTAGGATAGGACAATATTTGGCCGAGATACAAAAGATCTGGAATCTGAGGGTGCAAAACAATCTAAATATTGAGAAAATCACCTTTAAAGTTGTCCAAATTAAGTTCTTAGCGATGCATTTTACTAATCAAAAATTAAGTTTTAATATATTTCCAGTAGGAAATGTACAAAATATCTTCATGGAACATGATCTTTACTTAATATCCTAATGATTTTTGGCATAAAAGTAAAATCAATCATTTTGACCCATACAATGTATTTTTGGCTATTGCTACAAATATTCCCCAGCGACTTAAGACTGGTTTTGTGTTGTCCAGGGTCACATATATGTCTAAAGTATTGAAGTCTGTCAAATAAAACATGAGCTTTTTGAGGCTGTTTTAATCCAATTACATTTGTGGCCTGTTACATGAAGTTGAACCAAAACAAACAAATCCAGAGTTTATGATTAACCCTGGAGCGTGTGAACTGCCAATCACACAAAACATGAAGAGCATCATTTTGCTTAATTTCTCGCAAGAGACTCTGTACAATTCAGGAAGTTAATGTTTTATTAAGGCAAGAAGAAACGCTGCTGCAATCAGTGTGTATCCATAAATATTTTGTTTATATGTAGAGTTATGATTCTGTCTTCATACATAAATGACTAAAACAAGAAGGTGGAGGCAGAACAGTCTTTGTCTCACTGAAGCTGCATGGACATATGCATTCTACAGCAAATTCACATGACACACATTCATAGTGTAACATTACTCAATGAACTGCATGCAAATTTAGTCCAAAACAAGTATATTTACAGAAGGGTGTGCATGTGTGTTACCTTGCGTCATAGCTGGCTGTTCAAATGTGGGCTGAGACAGCGCTGGTGCCTCAAACTGTCCCATGTGTGCATGCTGCACACTCACAAACGATTCTGTGGATAAACACAATTTTCATAGTTAATGTTTTTTTGTTTTTTTTCATCAATCCCATCTTTTCTTTTAAATAAAGTAATGATTCTATGTGAACAATCCAGTGGCATGCTGTGGTGTTCTGAAATAAGGAGTCAAAGTCCTCAATGTTCTGGATATCAAAACAACAGAACACAGGAGAAGCAAGTTCAACAGTCTAATTTTTTTAGCTGTAAAATAATAAATAAATTGACACAGACATGATTTTTAACTGAAGTCATTTGTGGTCATCATGTTGTATGGTTAAACTTAATATTGGTATTAAGTTTATAATATTAAATATAGTAATATTAAGTCCATAAGACATGTTTGCATTACTGTACATAATTAATTGAGTTGCATGAAATTCATTGCATTTCCTGCTCAGTTTTTATTCATTTATTGAATGAATTTATTCAATGTTGAATCTATTTTTGTGCAAGTGAGATGCGTAAAGAGACACTGTTGCAGAAATCAACATTTGTCTGGTGTCTATATTTAAGCAGTACATCAAATTGGTTTTACAAATTGTTTCATGAACCCATACACTTTTTTCTTATCTTAAAATCAACTGCATGCAATAATGCATTAACTACTAAAAAGGACTTATTTATTTTAATGTTTTGGCTGATTTTGTTAAATAAAAAGTAATTTAATGCTCAGACTAAGAGGATATGATGTGAATTCATATTCTAGTGGGGATTGATTAATCTATACACAAATAATCGTAATCGCAAATGAGTGGTGGTAGAACCGATGATTATATTGTGTCTTGCACTAGAACTGCTAAACATTTTGTACTGTGAATTATTTTCTCATTCATTTTTGGAGGAGGCATTGCCTCCCTTGCCTATTCGGACAAAACACCCCTGAAACAAACATGACCTCCAGTCTCACTAGCCCAGGGCTGTCCAAACTCGGTCCTGGAGGGCCGGTGTCCTGCAGAGTTTAGCTCCAACTTGCCTCAACACACCTGACTGGAAGTTTCTATGCCTAGTAAGAGCTTGATTAGCTGGTTCAGGTGTGTTTAATTAGGGTTGGAGCTAAACTCTGCAGGACACCGGCCCTCCAGGACCCAGTTTGGACAGCCCTGCACTAGCCTCTCAGTGTCAGGGTCCCAGTTCATGTTTGTCAATAACCAATCAGTTGTTTTGTAAGGAAAAAAATATTGTTAGAGAAAAGAGGAAAAGGTGTCCCTCTCACCTGTTTCTTGCAGAGCATCTTCCCCCAGTGCAGTCGGCAGTGTCACCTGCTGGCCGTCTCCCACCACCTCAAGCATGCTCGGGGTCCCTGTGCCAACCACAGCTGTGGACGGCTGCATGTCATTTGAGCCCTCCTGCTGTTGCAGCTGTTGAGCCAGCTCATACCTGAGAACAAACACAACAAATACAAAATGACTATAAAAGCGCTCCCCAACAGATACCACAGCATAACACACTTCACCATTTTTATATCATTCATTGCATGTAAGTGGTGCTGGAAGGAGCTCAGAGATTTTATTACTGATAAAATCTTTATTTGACCCTCTAACTCTAGCACTCTCTATTCTAATTCTATTCTTTAAAACAACAACAACTTGCCCCTTTAAGACTTGCACGAGCTTCTCTAATCTTTTTGTATTCTATCTATTTGTTTTCTTTTTATTTATTATACAATTAACAAAAGCAGAAAAAGGCCTCTAACACTAGCTTGCTCTATTTTTTTTCTATTCTATGTTTTCTTTTTATTTATTATATAATTGAAAAAAAAAACCTTGCTATGTGTACTGCGTTAAGCTAACTGAGACTTGTTATAGCACTTGCATTTGATTGCTTCAATTGTCCTCATTTGTAAGTCGCTTTGGATAAAAGCGTCTGCTAAATGACTAAATGTAAAATAATCTACGATTAAGGCGAATATTAATATACATTTGCAAAACTGTTGTTAAAATATTGCAAGGTTGAAAATAATCTGAAATATTCTGACATATTGCCCAGCCCTAACAATAATGGATGACACTACGCTATGAAACTTACATAGAACATGAAAGGATCTCATAGAAAATTGTTAATAAAATATGATTAATAAAACACACATCATATAAAAAAGAGAAAAATTATAAGATGCTTTGGGTAAGACTTTTAAAATTTGTAAAACATGACAAGTTGAACTTAAATTGTACCACACATGCTTGTGTTGATGTGATTTGTGCTGTGCTGCAAACCGATATTTACAGCTGAAAACAGATAAACTACTGCTCATATTTATGTGCATATCTTCAGAATGACCTGCAATCCCATCCAATAAGAACAGCTTTCCTGATGGACAGGTTTCAGGTGTTTGCCTGTTCATTAAAGGAATAGTTCACCCAAAAACGAAAATTTGCTTAAGTCGCTGGGGTATATTTTTAGCAATAGCCAAAAAAACATTGCATGGGTCAAAATTATCGATTTTTCTATTATGCCAAAAATCATTAAGATATTAAGTAAAGATCATGTTCCATGAAGATATTTTGTACATTTCCTACTGTAAATATATTAAAACATAATTTTTGATTAGTAATATGCATTGCTAAGAACTTCATTTGGACAACTTTAAAGGCGATTTTCTCAGTATTTTGATTTTTTTGCACCCTCAGATTCCAGATTTTCAAATAGTTGTATCTCGGCCAAATACTGTCCTATCCTAACAAACCATACACCAATGGAAAGCTTCGAGAAATTGACCCTTATGACTGGTTTTGTGGTCCAGGGTCACATTTACTCTACCTCAAGTTGTTCCAAACTTGTATGAATTTCTTGCTTCTGCTTTCTTCTTCTTCCAAACAGTTTCTGGTTTCCATTGACATCCATAGTATTTTTTTTTCACCTTACAGTCAATGGCTACCAGCAACTGTTTGGTTACCCACATTTTCCAAAATATCTTCTTTTGTGTTCAGCAGAAGAAATTCATAAATTCACACAGGTTTGAAACAACGTGATGTTGAGTAAATGATGACAGAATTGTCGTTTTTGGGTAAACTATCCCTTTAATAAACATGAGCCAGACATGACAACTCACCTGTGTGTTTTCATGTGCTTTCTGCAGTTGGGGGAGGATTTGAAGGTTTTCTGGCAGTAGGGACACATGTAGGGCCGTATGTTGCTGTGGGTAGTCATGTGGCGTCGCAGGCTCCCGCTGGTGGTGAAGGTGGTGTCACACAGCAGGCACTTGAAGGCTTTGAGGCCAGAGTGTGTGCGGATATGAGCTTTCAGTACGCCGGATGAAGCAAAGCCCTTACTGCACTGCAGGCACTTATACGGCCGCTCCCCTGTATGTGACCTGCAAAACACATGAAAATACTCCCACATTAGCCATCAAAACACTTCAACTGAACCACTTTATTTTATGTTTTCATTTTAAGTTCATCTTGTTGCTGCTAACTACATCTATTGACTCTGTTTCTAGAGCAGTACTTGTTGAGGCGCTACTGAATGTACAGCATCATGTTATATTTTGGAAAGCCAGTGTGCAAACAGCATGCCATCAGCGGTTATTGAATTTACATCTGAATCAGTGTTTTCATATTTTTTCAAGGTAAATAGGGTTTATATGACAAAAGTTCTGATAATTCCCACTTGTTTGTCCTACACAGAATTCCACTTTCATTATTTTTAGACTAAATATGCATATTTCTAACTGCATAATTTGGACCTGATGTGCTGCTTAAGGTGACTTGACTTCTTGTACGCTTTGCTACAGAATCCACACTTATACGGACGCTCATTCTCCACGATGTCCAGATACTGCTGCAGGGCGGCCCGTGAGTTCTGGTTCTGCAGGAGCCCTGCAGTGATAAGGACAATGTTAAAAACAAATAAATTAATGAAATTAAAAAAAACATTCATATCGGATCAATGATACTTCAATCACCAGTCATTGTTTTGTGGTGCACATGGCTATTTTAACAACCATAGTAACTACAGGACTGTTCAGATAGTTGAAGTATTTTTTAAGCGGTGTTATATTACAGAAAATCGAATATATTTCTGAGAATATCCAACTATTCTGAGAATATTAAGAATATTCAGTCTACCTATGGATAACAGTGAATATTCAATCAAAATCACAATGTTTCAATAACAATCACAATCTGTAAAACATCCTTTTTTAATTAATGCATTTCACAGTTGTCAGTAGCTAACAAAAATTTTAAAAATGTAGAACCAAAAGTGTTTAATTCAGACAAAAATGAATTGAGAGTGGCACAGCATTGTTTATATCAGTGTCAGAGAGGGAAAATATTTACTTGGAATTAATTTCTAGGGGCTTCCCATAATAATAATTATTTCAAACAAACTAAACTTGAAAACTTAGAATGGAATATAAAGGAATACTGTATGCCAAAAGGTTGATAACATTGAGAGATTCTCTTCAGGGATTTTTGCCATCTCAGCTTTTCAAATATTTTGGGCATTTTGGTTCCGTGGCTTGGTTAATTTCTGACCCTGATTTATACTGAATATAATTATATAGTATGTGCCGAACTACAAGCTCAGGTACTGTTGTACTGTAAAGGTGCATGGAAACACTTTGTTGATGATCTTCCGTACCCATGTCTGTGATGAGTATTGGCTCCTGGAGAGGTATATCAGGCAAAGGCAGATTGCTCCTGGACACTCTAGTTTTGTGAGTTTTTCGAGGGTATTTGTGTTTTTTATGGTGTATACTCTTAAAGTGTGAGGTGACATGCGTTTTCCTGTGGCCTGATGTACGGAAGAACTTCTCGCAGTGAGGACAAGGGAACGGCCGTAAACCTAAGGAGAGGCAGATAAACATGTCAAGTCAATATATATATCAATATATATATATTTTTTTTTTTTTTTGCAAATGAAAGACAGATTAACATTTGTTTTCACATCTTGATCTGGCACCTGTTGAGGAAGTGTTAGATATCATGTTTCTTTTTCTCTTTGTATAGCCATTTTCTCCCATTAACTCTACTGTTGCATTTGGGCAATTTTGGAAATGTCAAGAGTAAGACTATCAAAATACATCTTTTTTTTCCCATATAATTTTTTCACGAGTTAGATTTGTCATAAATACTTTTGAAAAATATTTCCTGAATCTCTTAAGTAATTTTAGCATTGTATTTTACTGATAAACATGAATAAGCACATTCAAATGCATTATAAACAGACAACATGTAACTGACATTACAAATAAACAATATCAAATGCACTAAATCCACAGGAATGTAAAGTGAAAGTTCAGTAATATTGATTTTTTTTTAATTAGAAAAATAATTTGTAGGTTTCATTAATGTGGGCTGTTTTTGAGGAAATTGGCAAATTATTTCAAGTCCAAAGTTCACAGTCTGAACAGTGTCTTCAAGGTTTTACTTATGCATTATTCACTTTCAAACCACTTCCAAATTAGGCTTCCGGGGGCAAATTTTATTGTGTATTTAAAAAAAAAATATTTTAATCTAATTAATTACACAATGTGCTGATTAATTAATCAAATTAATCTCAAAGAATTAGATTAATTAATCAGCACATCATGTTTATTATTAAAGATCATTTAAAGTCATTATTGTGTTAAATTAGAAAAGCACTGAATAGACATTGCAAAGAAAATAAATATTTTGATTCAACATACAAAAACAAAAATATACTGTATTATAACTTATAATATTCTACTCCAAATATAAAACTAAAAGAGCCAGTAGGTGGCGGCAAATCGCTGTTTTAATGAGTGAGCCATTCAGTCATTCATTCAACCGATTAGTTCAAACAGCTGATTCATTCAGAAGCAAAGCCAGTTGCTGCATCCCAATTCGCCTACTTATACTATGCCCTAAAAGTATATGCTCTTTTTGTGAAGAAAAAGTGACTCTATTTATAAATGGCTCACTGAATCATTAGTTCAATCGATTCATTCAAAACCATGGATTCATTCAGTAATGAAACACCGGAACAGTAATGAAACGCACAACAGTTCTGCTTTCGTTAGCGAACTTGCACAAAAACAGACAAATATTGAGAATAATGTGTCTAAAATGTAACACAATATCAAAACATTGTTTACTAAAAAAAAAAAAACAATATCACATTTGCAATCGTGCAGATATTCGGGGAAAAAAAATCATCTCTCTTGCTCGAGTCTAGTCGTTAATATATTTTTTCTTCCCCTGATATTATTTACACCTCTATCTTATCTTCATTTGTAAGTAAAAACTTTAAAATAATCTATTTTTCTTTCGACCAGCCAATGAGGTGAAAGAAAACAAGCGGTGTTTGTTTTAGTAACACATGCAACTTTAACACGCATCTGACGGACAGTTAAACCGCGCACTCGTATTTCAGTGTTGCTGTTAACATTATGGTTATTTTAACAAATTCATAACAGCATAAAGTTAAAGAGGGTGGACTTTATTAGTCGAATTTGCACATGAATTTAAGAAAGTGTTCTTGCAAAAAAACATTTGAATCTTTGCACATTCATGCGTTGATAAGACATTATTAATCACAATATGCGCTTATTCCTTAAGGGCCAGCTTTTAGCAGAGTTTAGCTTCAGTCCTAATTAAACACACCAGAACAAGTTAATCAAAGTCTTCAGGATAACTAGAAACTTCTAGTTCTTCTAACTCTAGAGCCGTTTCTAAATATGCGTTTTTGTCTGCACTTGTGTTCTTGTGGACTTGGGAAACATTATCAGTCATTGCCCAATAATGTTCCAATTCAAATTTCACAGTACAGTTCAAATCCTCAGATGTGTTCTTGCTGCACCCCTTTTATTGAGGATGCATCAAGAGGTGAGCTTGAGGCTGCCAGGTACCCCAGAATGCATTTCACAGCAACCAGCGGGCATTAATGGCAGAGGAGAAAACAAGCAGTATTTTCTAAATATTACTGTTATTGTGTCATGAAATGTAGTTTTAAGAGTTTTTCAGGTGAGAATGTAGTTGTTCAAAACTCAAATCTATGGTTTATTTATAAAGATAGCATCTAATTGAAAATTTGCTTCGCCGATTTAGGAGATGTGAGCTCCAGGCGATCACCAGGCGCTCAGTGCTCATGTATCCCGCCGAGAGCAGCCTCACCTCAGCTAGTCCTTCTGACATTTGCTGCTGGCTGTGATGTCTCTGAAGTGGTTAAAATGATTTGTGGTTAATATAATTTGTGGTTAATAAAATTTGTTTTATATCTAATAGGCAATCTTTGGTCTCATGAATCTATTTTTTTGCTCCAGGTCATATCATTTTGGCTGAGCACAAAGTTATGTTTCGTAACTTTATATATTTATTTAACTTTACCATAGTAGAGCGCTGACTTTGTAGCATACGTTTGACTGAATTGTATGCTTTTGTCTTTATTTCCTATTATATAAGCCTCATAAATATTATACTTATACTTTTATGGCTATTATTGTTCATTAAAACAAAAGGAATTTAACAAAAAGAGGCAGAGTTGTGCTTTGTTATATTTCATTTTATTATACACATACATACAGTGAAGATATGCACATATTGCCTGAACCACATATTAATATGTTTATATTTTTTAAATGAAAATTAAAAGAGGGTTGTGCTTTATATTTTGTTTTGTTAAGTATACATATAGTGAAGGTAACCAAAATATGTATACGTTGCCTGAACTACACTTTTGTGGCTAATAATATGTTTAAATTAAAATCAAAAGAGGCAGTGGTTTTTGATATAATATTTTGTCTAATTGTTAATATACATACAGTACAGTGAGGATGACCGGAGTAGCCAAGGCGAGCTGAGTGACATTATCAAGTATGGTGCAATTCCATTTGCAGGATTACTGGACATGTGTCCTCCCATCCTCAGGAGTTCGCACTCCCGAGTCGGACTTGCCAAGTCCGAAATACCAAGGACACAAGTATTTTTGCGTACTTTGTATTGAAAAACGGCTTCGGTGTACAGTAGTGGAGGTAAACTCTGCAATACAGTGAAGGATTGGATACCCCTGATCTAGGAACTCTTGGACAAAGTATGTGTATGTAACAGAAAGAGTGATGTTCTTACCAGTGTGGAGACGCTGATGGACCTTCATGCTCCCAGATGTGGAGAAACATTTCATGCAGTACTGACACTCAAAAGCTTTAATGCCTGTGTGGATCTTCATGTGGGCAGTCAGGGTGCTCTTGACTGCAAAGGCACGGAAGCACTGCTTGCACTTGTAGGGTTTTTCATGAGTGTGAATACGGATATGACGGACCAGATCGCTGGGCTTCTTGAACTCTTTGGAGCAGTATGGACAGCCGTGCCACCTCACACCATTCTCCTGCCTGATGGTGCCTAAAAACAAACACAAATATCATATCTGCTATATAATTGTGAATACTAATGGAGCTGGATCCTAAAGTCTGAGACCACATTATCAGTGAAAAGTGCCTCCAGTATGGGTCTGTTCGTCAGAGAGAATACAAACAAGTCGTATGAAATAATTTTAAGATATTTAAATGGTGCTATTGAATCTGATTTTTTAATCTCTATTACAGGTTACAGGTAACCGTTACAGGTAACTATAAAAAAAAAACTGTCTGAGATTGATATCAGTTATCTAAAATGATATGAGAAATAAAACAAACACCCTCTTTTAAAAAACTAAAATCCAAATGTTTATTTTACTGAAATCCTACTGTTAAAATTGTTTTATTTGTGCATTCTAAACTTTCTAATTTTACAATGCCCTATAAACAGCTTTGCAGCTAATTTTGGGTTAAATGGGAACCATCCTATTTTAACTTTTCAGATCAAGCTGTGGCAACTCTCATTTATCCATTTAGTAGAGGACAAATAAACGAAAGTGTTCCAGGCCTGTAAAGCATACCTAGCATCTGTGGAGGCTTTTTGATAATGCTTCTTTTCTCCTTTTTTACAACTGTGTCAGTCATAAGTATTTTTGAGGGGACAGGTCCATCATTTGTTGAAGTGGCAGTCGGGGCAGCTGTGTCTGGCTGAAGTTTTTCTGAGCTGCTCTGAGTTTCAGGCTGAACTGGAATCTCAGTCAGTCCACTGTTCTCCAGAGCTTGCTGTGAAAACACCAAATTTCATTAGAGCAAATGTTAAAGGGGTTAAAGGGGTCATTAACGGCATTTTAATTTATTTTATACTGTTTCCTAAGGTGCACGTATAATTTGAATAGGATTTTTATATCAAAAACTGTCATCATTTATAAATAAAAGGCCATTTTCTACCATGATTTTAGCCTTAATTTAATTATAAATTATTAGACCTTTTAATGAATTATATACTTATAATTATAAACAAACCTAAGCTGATAGCATTTAAACTACTGAACTGCAATCGGAAAACCCACTGAACTGAACTGAAACCCCAATCATCTGTGCTGATGTTGCAATAAAGGCACCAGCAGAGAACATATTTGCTTGTGTCAACAGAGAACAATTTAATTCCATCGATATACAAGTGATTTGTGGTAAGCAAAAATCTCTGGCCAATGTAGATGTGTGCTGGCCTGGATTGATCTGTAACTTCTGCATTATGTGATAATGATCTTGTGCATGATGACTTGCAGTAACTTATAATGTGATCTTATAAGAGGAGACAGAAAGTCAAATCTCGTTTTATCAGAGGGAACGCAGGGCTTTGCGCTTACAAATTTTTTTAGGAGCCAAAATGTTTTTTGCAGAACTTAACAGAACACTGAAACAAACTCAGTTTTAGTTGTTCTTGAGTAAAAAGCTGAAAACCAGTTAACCATTTAATTTTGCTCTGATACCCTTTCTTCAAAAAAAGAAAAAAAAAAGAGGAAAAATGAATTTGGTTTGGGGGTTTTAAGGGTAAAAAAAAGGTAAAAAGGTCTGATTTCTCATTCAAATTCAATAGACTTGTTCACTTGACTTTTTAAATGAAACCAATAATCAGACTTTGATCTGAACAGACGACACTTCTAACCTGCATGCATAAAGCACCTTAGCTTGGAATGTTTAAGGATACAAAAAAGAGGAAATATCAGTGAAGGTGATGTGCATTGGAGGTATGGGTCAGTTAATTATGAGCAGGAGGATATGAAAATGGGGCCAAATTTTTCATGAAGTCAGTGATTTTAGTAGAACGTATTGTACAGGTGCATGATCTGAGCAAGGAATCACAGAATAGATGTGTCAGATTTACTAGTATGTTCACACTGTCATCCAAAACAAGATCCGTGACATAAAGTGAGGGTAAAAAAAAATCTGGAGCAGTCAACTGTGATGTGAGTGTCTGGCATGTGTTGTGCAGAGTACAGGAACACACGGACCTGTTGTCACCATAGAATCAGGCCTTTTATGCTATCTAATGAGATCAACTGACATCTTGCATCTGCTTCAACCAGGTAGCGGCTTTATCTACAGTTATTTAAAATGCCCTCTTGAGTAGGTTTCATGCTACTTTTACTCTCTTTCACTGAAATAGATCTTGGTTACCTGCAGGATGTCCTGGTTGATTGCCGTGCCTATGGGCTGCCCAGGGGGAGGTGCTTGAGCACTGTCTGCCGTCACATGGTCAGACAGCTCCAGCAGCTGTTGGATCACATCGGTCACACCCTCTGCCCCTTCTGACCCCACTGCACCCTGATCAACCCTTGCATTTCCTTTCTGAAAACAAAAAAAACAAAAACAGAATCATACTTTACAGGTAAACTGCTTATGTAAGGATGACTGTGAACAAAAGGCTTTTCACACTCCATTTAACCCCGAGTTATGTATTCCTCTGGATCAAGGTCAAGCACAGTTAAGCAAAGCTTCACACATCTAATTTCTAAGGGGATATAATAATATTCCACCCCCAAAATAAAAATTTGCTCATCATTTACTCAACCTCTACAGAAGAAAGAAAGTCAAATACATATTGGGAGGCATGAGGGTGAGTAAATGATGAGAACATTTTCATTTTTGGGTGGAGTATCCCCTTTACCGCACGTCAGCTGTAAGATGAGTTTATCTTAGACAGACTGAAATCACCTGTGTTGCTGGCTCCTCAACTTCCATTACTGATATGTGCATTTTGCTGATGTGAGCATTGAGGCTGCCAAGCTTTTTATAGACACAGCTACAATCCATACATGGGAAGAGTGGAACATCACTTGCCTAAAAACAGAGATTTTTCATTAACAAAAGCACCTACTCCAGAAATAGGGACATATTCTGAATATTTTCAAACTATTCAACATTATTATTTTGGCAATTTAAAATGAACCAACACTGTAATTATTGCAACACTATCACCCAAGAATTACCTAGACTCTGGCAACCCAGCACAATTTTATCTTATTTCATGTGGGAACACAACCGGCACCAGTTATTAATTATTTTCACATTCTCATAATTTTGTGGACAGATGATTACAGCATTTAACTAGATTTTTAATAAATGAAACAGTTACTGGTTTGAAAAATTGAAAATGGTTAGTATCACATTTCATAGTTTAATTAAAAGTGTATTTTTAACTGACAGTAAATAATGTGCTGCATTAAGCAAAATTAGCAGGTCTCACAGAGGCTCAACATGCAGCATAGATTTTGCTTTGTATGAAAACATGGCAAACTCAGTGAGAGAGTGGATTTACATTTTTATTCAGCTTGTCTGCCGTTATTGTTCAGACCAATGTACAGAAGCCCTGAATCGCAATGTGAGAAAAACAAAAACAAATTGTGGGGGGAAAAAATAGTACAAAAAAAAGATAGACTCTGCCTGAGTCCTAACATTTCTTTTCTCTCTCTCTCTCTGACTTTTTTTTTATTTTTTTATCTCTTTTCTGACTTACTTTCTTTAAAAAAAAAATAAAAAAAAAAAGAACCAGGTGCCACTATCAGGAAGCCTGAAATCTAATACTTACACTGGTTTCTCGGGCAATTTATCCTTGAATAATACATTTATTACTGTTTTGCACATTGTAATTAAGACAAAATTAGGTTAGATATGTTTCATATGGTATGCATTGTCATGTATAAGAACTGGGGTTCTTTTTCAGTTGTATATTGCACTTTTTAAAATGGTTTGTTTGTTTGTTTATGATTTAACACCATGCAAACTACCTTGGCTATATTCATGACGAGAACGAGGTTATTTAAGTTAAATTAAGTTTTTAAATTTGATCTTAGATAAAAATTCTAAAACTAAATCTGGCCTTACTTCATTAAAGATCTTTCCATAAAAGTCAAAAGAAAAATGATGATTTCTGACAGACTTTGAAGCATATTTTGATGGATTGTAATAGTTTAAAGATAATGGATTCTGGCATAAAGAACATAAAGGAGGATCTTCACCCACCAACAGAAAACTATGGGTTAGTCTGGAATGTCCTATTCGACTAATACAATATGTGTAGACAATATGATCCCATCGATTTTCAAAGTGGGCACAACGTTTTACACCAACTACAGGATTGATTTTGTATAGTTTGTTTGTTGTACATTTATCCCTTTCAGCTTGCCATTTCTTATAAATATAAACGTTTATAACAGGTCTGAGCAATTTTTTAAATATATTTTTTTTATCAAAAATGTGCTAGACTGTAGCGCTTGTTGCTGTCCTGTTTGCCCAGCATTAGATGGTGAAAATACTGAAAAAAAAGAGAAACATGGAGAAATTATTACAACTGAGTTCACTTTGACTTTAATGCAAAGACTTTTTACTCTGTTAAATGTGGACATTAAAAATGGGTTGGAACTCATTTTGAACTCTCAAAGTGCACCAGATTGATGCATTTAACTTTCAAATGTGCTAAATTTCATATAGAGGTGTATGCCCCCAGTGCTGCAAATGCTCTGATATGGTGTAAAAAATGCATTTAAGCAACTGTACAGTAAAATTGTATCTGTACTTTTGCTGACACCCTTACATGTTTTATGAAGTAACAAAGTACTGCCATTGATTTTACCCAACTATATATTCATTAAATTAATCTAATTTGTTCAAATATTGTAGCAAGTATATATAAAAGTAGCAGTCGGTATCCACCAGCTGCTTTAAGTATTACAGTGCATTTCATCCTCACGGACTGCACCAGATTTGCCAGATCTTGCTGTAGAATGTCTTTCACCAAGGCATTTACAGGTTCTTGAACACGTCTGGGGTAGGCATGCACCGATTACCGGTTTTAAGGTATACCGCGATTTGAAAATGTCAAAACTACTACAATTTTACGTCATACCGTTCCTGCAGTATGCACCGTTTTTATTGTCTCAACTAATATGGAAAGTGTAGGAATCCCTCAGGTCGAGTGCAGAGTAGAGAGTAACACAACCCCTCCTGTTGGTGCAAGCAGTCAGTAAGCTGTGTGTAAGATGGCCGAAGGAGGTGAAGCCCTGGAACTTACGCGATTGGCAACTGGCTGTGTTTTTGTCATTAGGGGTTCAATCCCTAACTGACTGGCAGCACCAGCCACTGGCAAGTCACATGATTGGTGGCGGCTGGCAGTCTTATTCTGGCAGGTAACATGACCTGCCGGTGGTTGGCTGCCTGGCGGCTGGCAGTCCACTGTCAGGAACCACTGATTTATATGGCAGATTTATGTGTTTTGCTCTCCTTCCATTCTAGCTCCTGGAATAATATATATTTTAATTTTTTTCATTGTACATCTGTTCATTTATATACTTTATTCTTTTACATGATCGACGTTTTATGAAGTGATATGGAACGTGTTAAATTAGGAGCTGAAAGTGACTGGCTGCACTGAAGTGGCAGTAACCCACCAGTTGGGATCATGGCCATTTGAACACTTCGTGATAAACCTCCCTAAAATAATGATCATGTACAAGAATAGACCCACAAGAATATATGAGGTGGAGCGGAGAGGTGAAGCGGAGGCAGAACAGGGGGAGAGATGAGGAGGAGTAACAGAGCAGTGTGTAGCCCAAACACACAAGATGGCTACCACCATTACAGGGAGCACTGAGGATAGGGGAACAGCCTCTGTGACAGCCAGTGCTGAGGCCCTTGGGATACCAGCTGCTCTGGTGAAACCTGCGGTGGGTCCACCAAACTGGAGATCAGCCCCAAAGGCCCAAAATGCCCACATGTTTTCAAATGCGACTTTCACGATGACCGGGAACACAGGAGTGGCATCCGTGACGGCTGAAGACTGTGCTGTCACATCCATGATGGCTGGAGGCTCTGGAGTGGTGGCCATGACAACTGGAGGCTCTGGACTGGCGGCCATCTTGTGGAGAGGCTCCGGGCTGGCAGCCATGATGGAATGAGACTCTGGAATGGCAGCCATGTCTTGACAAGGCTCTGGAGCGGCGGCCATTTCATGACTAGACGAGTCTCTGGAGTGGCAGCCATGATGTGAAGAGGCTCTGGATCAGCAGCCGTGACGTGAAGATGCTCTGGTGTGGCAGCCACTGGGCTTTGGAGTGCTGAGAGTTTGGGGCTTGAGATAACCAGACTAGTATTCCGAGATGGGCCAAGCTCTGCAGCCACCGGAGTTTGACAGTGTTGGCCCCCACCGTTTCTCCCACAATGAATGGGGAACCAATTAACAAAAGCGCATAATCCAAAAATTCATAGCGTGACCCTTCGAGGACCATCTTGAACGAGTTTTGACTTTAATGGTTCATTCAGTTCATAATGTAACTCTGAATGGGTGGGACTACAGCTCCAAATGGATTAATCATGGTGATAGAAAGACAGAACGATAGCAGAAAGTAGCAAGTAACTAAAGGAAATTAACAACAAAGGTACCCTTTAGAGTCATTACTAATGCTATTAATGTTGTACTGCTCCAATGTTTATTATTATTTTATATATTTTTTTACATGTTGGTTCTGCTCATGCCAAGATGCAAATGTAATAATTTTGTATTATTGTGTGTACAGTAGAAAGCCCTTTATCCTTATGGATTCAAGAATCACTTCAACCCTACTATGAAGACATGATATTTGGAGTTCTCCATATTTTTTGTGGCATTAACATGAACTATTATTTGATGATTTGATTGGTAATTTGAATGACAATTGATTATAAATACTCTCTACCAACACACACATACAATATGTGTTACAAAGACAATCCGATGAACACGTGACAGGTAATGCAGAGGGTGTTACCTGTGAGTGAACTCTCTGAACATGCGAATGAAGGTTTCCTTTTTGGGAGAAAGAGGCAGGACAAAGCAAGCACATGTGAGGTTTCTCCCCTGTATGTCGCACCATGTGTGTCTGCAGCACCACCTTTTGGTTGAAGGCCTTTCCACAGTGAGTGCATTTATATGGCCTCTCACCTGGAGCACACAAAATACACTGTCAAACAGTCAACAGCACAGGTTCATGAAAATATTAATATTAGTGTTGTCACTTTAAGTATTAAAAAAAATATGTATTTGGGTTTACCTGTGTGAATGCGTATATGTCTAACAAGCTGACTGGGCTTTTTAAACGTCTTCCCACAGTGATGACAAATGTTTTTGAATCCTCTCCGATCTATGCACTTATAGTTTCTTGAACTTGTTATAACAGGCCTTAAAACGAATTGAGGATCAGAGTGTGAGCCACAAAGCTGAACTCAAATAGTACATACAATATATCTGAATTTATATACTCACAATAAATAAATCAAAACTGATCTGATTTTTCAGCTCAGAGTAAACTAAAACAATTTCCAAATATATACGGAGCCCCGCAAATGGCATGCAGGAAAAAAAAAATAGTAGGTAGAAGAAAACAACAGTGAATTATATTGTCAGAGATAAAAGTAAGATAACAAAGAATTCTCTCCATGTATCAGTTCTGTTGTGTAGATTTAATGCATATAAGATCTAAAAACTAACAGGAACGACTATCTTTTCCCACTATTTATGACTGTATCACATGAGTCAGGCTGTGATCTCTGAACAGGCGAATGCTTTAACAGTGAAAATTACACTTTTTTAAAATTTATTTTACTTTTAATGCTTTATTTTAACGTGACAAAACAATAGAACAAATAGAACAATGACCAATATTATTAATGATCTTTTAGATCTATTATCCAGGAGAACCTGTTCTGTTGAAGTGAGGCAATAAGAAACTGATTTTGCACAAAGCTCCTAATTTGTAAATACCTGAAGAATTATTATTTTGGGGTAATTTAAACTGTTCTGTAGATAACACCTTCTCCTTTTCAAACAGATTCTTTACCGAGGTTATAGCAACTTTTCTCCACAATGTGAAACCATTGTTCATTATTCCAGGCTGAAAAAAAAAAATCATTGTATTGGAGTAATAGGCAACAAAGTTTTGGCTTTCCCTTCCCAACTCCTGATTAACTTGTAATGTGTAATGTGTTTTTAACATCTTAAACAGATTTCAGAAAAGAGGTCAGACAAAGTAGATCACAATTAAAACAGCCTAATGATATAATAGATCATCAGTTTTGCATCAGTTTATGATAAATTGCTTGTGATGTTACTCGTTTGTGACCAAGTCTACTGAATGAATAAAATATAAGTTCTAAATCTGAGTTAAGACACAGAATATCAAATAGCCTAGTTAAGATCTGAAATCCTGCCCCTGCAATATTTAAACTGAGGGTACAGTTTTTTTAAACGAACGTCTCTCAGACACGTAAAAAGCAACGGAATGATCAAAGACATCTATGGCATGTTCAAATAGGAACACAACTGAAAAACATGACACAAAAACCAATGGGCAATGAATGTCAGCTTATTCTCGGGATTCAACTGATTTAAAAAATATATAACTTTCAAAATGTAGTCTTTTGTTTCAGTTTGCAGATGGTTGTCCCCTTCATCCAGCACAGTTTGGTCTGTGTTCACATGATTCAACATATATAGGGGGTAAACCAACTCCAGGGTAAGGCTAAAGAAAAGTAGCCTAGTCTAACTTAATCTATGAACTACGCACATCATAAACACGTCTTTTTTAGCAAAGTACCAGATATGGGTGTCATGTCATAAAATAAAACATTGTAAGTTACTAATTTACTAATTACTTCATTATTTTGTTTAATTTCCAATTATTCAAACAGCGATTAAATTATATAGGCTACCGAAAGCCAGCAAAGAACATTTACATTAGCATATTTTTATCGTTTCACCAAATATACTTGGGCGGCCGTTAATATACCTGGACGACCCGCCCAAGTAAACTCTACGTGTGGGAAACACTGTAATAGCATGTACGAAATGCTTTGAAAAGTTTCATAAAATGGGTGTCATGTCATAAAATAAAACATTGTAAGTTACTAATTTACTAATTACTTCATTATTTTGTTTAATTTCCAATTATTCAAACAGCGATTAAATTATATAGGCTACCGAAAGCCAGCAAAGAACATTTACATTAGCATATTTTTATCGTTTCACCAAATATAATTGGGCGGCCGTTAATATACCTGGGCGACCCGCCCAAGTAAAGTCTATGTGTGGGAAACACTGTAATAGCATGTACGAAATGCTTTGAAAAGTTTCATAAAATGGTAAACTTCACATTTCAGCCTTTAAATAAGAAAAGGGTTAAGTCAAAAATAGAATCCACATAAGCCTGTCATCAACCAGTCAAAATGTACAGCAGGTTATGCAAATTCAGTCTTTTTTTTTTTTGGCCAGACATAAACTGCACACGGCTGAATGTACAGTAAATGTAACTCGCTGTAAATCCACTCTCTGACAGCAGGTGGTGCTGTTGGAACAGCAGAATTAGAGTCGTTTCCTGTAACCTCCTTGGACAAAGCATCATTACGATAGGAACACTTCTTCATTAGGTATTACATGGAGTGAAGATGAAAACAAAATGCCATCAAATCTGGAGATGGGTAGGTTTAGGTATAAGTAAGGTGAGAGGAGTTGGATTTGGATCCAACCACGCCCCCTGGATCTTGTGTGCTGTGCACATGTGACACTGTTACTTAAAACTTTGCTTTATGCTGGGCAGTATTTATTTATCCTCAGTTGTTCAAATCACGGTAATCGAATACGGTTTTAATGATAATTAAATTTGAAACGGTAATACTAACCGCGGGGAATTTTATCATGATTTATCATCAAACCGGTAATCGTTCCATCCCTAATTTTTGGTGGTACCTTGAGGTCTGATTGGTCAGTGATAGGAAAGTATGCCATTCACACTCAAACAGTGAAATGACTTTAATAATGCAAATACAGTTAAGTGTAATATGTGCAGAGACAATATAACATAAAACACTACTGTAACGACAGTTGTGAATTCTTTGTTTTAGTTTGTGTTGTTACAGTACAAACACATCGGCAAAGGAGTTACACATTCTGAATAGCATAGTCAAGTTCACTATGGGCAGAGCTCTATTGTTCTCCTAAGTTTTTTCCCCAAAGTTTTGAGGGCCTTTGAGTCTTTTAAAAATTCGTAGGCCATTAGGTCAAGGCAAAGGTGGCACATGGGCGTTTATGTACAAAAGTTAGTACATATACTGTTCTCAGCAAAATAAAATTGCTCTGACAGTCATTAGTGCTGCCCAACAGAAAGTTGGCCACTTTGGACTTGGCGAAACATGCTGTGAAGTTTTAAATACTCCTCGTATGGTTTAATATGACTGTCACCGAACTTGTTCAACATCACATTACAGATATTTTGAACATGTTCGCCATGACGAGGCAATAATAATAATTAGACTTGAGCTATATGTTTGGTCAAGGAGGCTGGTCACATAGACATGTCTACTGTCATCAATAGTATATTATATAGTATATTGTATAATACCGCACGCTGTTACAGAACAAACCCATACAATCTCAAAATAAATCAGGTATCTCAAATTCTTTTACTTAAAGGGGTCATATGATGCGATTTCAAGTTTTCCTTTCTCTTTGGAGTGTTACAAGCTCTTGGTGCATAAAGAAGATCTGTAAAGTTGCAAAGACTAAAGTCTCAAATCCACCAAATACACAAAATAATGTTCTTTTTAGCAGCATCATATGACTCTTTTAATTGAACAGGCTATGGGAACACACTCAACTGCAAAAACAAGAAAGAGTTGATTTGTGAGGAAAGCGATCACACTTCTAAAACTAAATTAAAACTCAATATCATTCAAAAAGGTCTCTTCTCTATGACAGATAAATAAAATAATGTTGAGTAAAATTAAAAAGTCAAAGCCTTCTTGCACTGGATGTGCTGGTTTAGGCCTCATTGCCAGCTTCATTAACGTCTTCTTCTTATATATAAAACACCTGTGATTCACAAATACTTGCTAAGGAACTCACATTCACGTACAGTAGCCTTGTTTAAAGTTTGGATGAGTAAGGGCAAAACACCTAAGATATAGTACCTTTAAATGCCAGATATCACTTCTTTTGTAGCAGAAATAAACTGCTGCAGAAAAAGCTAGGTGCCATGCGTGATGTGCAATTGCAACACTCATTACAAATGTAGTGGAGCAAAGAGTACAGATACTTATTTTAAAATGTTGTGAAGTAGAGTAAAAGTTGCTCATTTTGAAACTCAGTAAAACTACAGAGTATCCAAAAAGATACTCAAGTACAGTAATTAATTACATTTACACCTCTGCCAAAATGTCCCAACTTTTTTGAAAATGGGTTTCCAATTTATGTCTTTTGTTTTTCTTTTTTTGTTGCCTTTCTTTTTTGTTTTTTTAAATGTGATGTAATACTAGAAGCTACTATAAACCAGAGTCAAAATCCTTTATGTAGACTGCTGCAGAAAAAGCTAGGTGCCATGCGTGATGTGCAATTGCAACACTCATTACAAATGTAGTGGAGCAAAGAGTACAGATACTTATTTTAAAATGTTGTGAAGTAGAGTAAAAGTTGCTCATTTTGAAACTCAGTAAAACTACAGAGTATCCAAAAAGATACTCAAGTACAGTAATTAATTACATTTACACCTCTGCCAAAATGTCCCAACTTTTTTGAAAATGGGTTTCCAATTTATGTCTTTTGTTTTTCTTTTTTTGTTGCCTTTCTTTTTTGTTTTTTAAATGTGATGTAATACTAGAAGCTACTATAAACCAGAGTCAAAATCCTTTATGTAACTTTTTCTGTGTTCAAAATGTGCAAAATGTATATAATGAGTGAGTACATCATGAATTCATCTTCAAAACCGCGTTTTTGTCTTATTCCGATTCACCACGGTACACTTATAATAAGTACTTATATTTGGACTAGTGTAACCTGGTCGGGTTGTCGCCGCTGCGGAGTAACACACACCTGCGTGAATCGCCATAGACATAAACTTAGAGAAGTAGCTCCGGTTAAAATGTTCTTCCGCGGGATGTGTGCAGTTCTGTTTATTAACCTCTAGAGCGCCAAAAGTTACATAGTGCTGCTTTAATGAGTTACATAGTGCTGCTTTAATCCATAAGAACACTGGCTAATGAAACTGATTCTGACAGAGCATCACCTGGGGCATTTCTCTCTATAAGAAAGTTGTCAGCAGCTTCACCTATAGCTGGAAGAAGACAGTTGGCTGAAGTCCAGAATCAGCTGGGTTTGCCGGCTCACCAGCTCATCACTGAGTCAGCCAGGCACTGGCGATCACAGCAGCAAATGATTGAGCACTTCCTGGAGCAGGAGGGAGCAGTCGAAAAGTCATGTCTGCTGACAAAAAGTCTAGATATCTTGTTCCTACTTTAGCAAGACATAGAGGTCCTGGAGGCAATCCAGATGCCTTTAAAACCCCTTCAGGACTTCACAGCTTTTGAAAAAAACAGCATATGCTGGTTAGGTATGTTTTGATGCTGGAATGTTGGTTTAAGCTGGTCCTTTACTGGTTTATGCTGGTCCTTTTGCTGGTTTATGCTGGTCCTTTGCTGGTTTATGCTGGTCCTTTGCTGGTTTATGCTGGTCCTTTGCTGGTTTATGCTGGTCCTTTGCTGGTTTATGCTGGTCCTTTGCTGGTTTATGCTGGTCCTTTGCTGGTTTATGCTGGTCCTTTGCTGGTTTATGCTGGTCCTTTGCTGGTTTATGCTGGTCCTTTGCTGGTTTATGCTGGTCCTTTGCTGGTTTATGCTGGTCCTTTGCTGGTTTATGCTGGTCCTTTGCTGGTTTATGCTGGTCCTTTGCCAGCACATGACCCGCATAAACCAGCAAAGGACCAACTTAAACCAGCATCCCAGCATCAAAACATACCTAACCAGCATATGCTGTTTTTTTTCAACAGGGAGATGCTCTGTCAGGTGAGAAGAGTTACCATCTCATATGTCAAACCTGCGCTACACCTTTTCAACACAAGTCTCCTGGCACATGAACAGGGTGATAGCGGACTGTTCAAATCCATCAAGATCTGCATTGTTGATTACTTGAATGGCAAGTATGCTGACCCTGCCACTAGTGACCTGTCAGACATGGCCTCACTTGTGGATCCACATTTCAGAAACAAATACATCCCAGGTGAAAAGATCAATGCAGTGCAAAACCAAGCTGTCTTAGAAGCGGAATATCTGCTAGCTGATCAGGCCGCTGTTAAACTGACCCAGCTGTGCCTTTGCATGCAGACTAAGCAGCAATAATGCCACCAACAGCTAAGTAGTAGTCATAACTGGCAAGCTTCTTCAAGCAGAGCTCAGCAACCACAACCAGCAACTGCACTGACACGGAGAGAGGCAACTGAAATTGAACTACTCACAGTCAGTTACTGTAGAGAGTGACAGTTCCTCTATGAAATTGTCTTTACAGCACTGACCAACTGTCAAAGAAGTGTTTTCCTTGCACAAAACCTGTAAGAGATATACAGGGCTACATAGGCGAAAACACTTTGTTCAGTGAACAGCTGTCTACCGCAAAAATAACCTACTTCCTCTGGCAAAATACGTTTTCTACTGTTCTGTTTACATTATTGTTATTTCCACATCAGAGCTGTTTATTTTGTTATGCAAGAGGAAAAAACTGCAATTGTACTCTATTTATTATGTCCGTTATTATTGTTGCACATTGCCAGAGATCTAGTTTTAATATAGTTTTTTATGATTATATATATTGTGCTGTATATTTTTAAACGGGGAGGAAAACCTCTTTGCATTTTATTTCAATCATATACTGTCTTAATTAAAATGATAGTGACATTTCCTGTGGCTTTGACTTGCAACTAAACATTTAGTCCACTTTGTAGAAAATACAGATATATTGTATACTGCCATTCAACCCAAAAATACCAAGATATGAATTTTGATCAATGTCGCACAGCCCTAGAATCTCATTTCAGCAAGCCTATAGCAGAAATGGACTCCCGCATTCTTCAGAACATTTGCTGTACATTCACAGCAGACAGACACAAGTGTCATTATGCGTTGATGCTTTGGAAACAAAGTCAAACGTTCAAAAACAAATGTAAATAAATGTGAGGCCAGCAATGCTTATGCATTTTGCCACTTTCTCCTAAATCACTGATACCTAGCAACAGGGGTAAGCACATGTAGCTTTTATGATGCAAAAATACTGTGGTTTGGAATTAAAAAACAAAGTGTGAACACAATCCAGTGCAGACAGGGGTAGGGGAGCAATCGAACTCTGGTTTAGACCAAACAATTGAACCAAGTGCGAAAGCACCCTAAATAGTGTTACACATTCTGACTAGCACAATCAAACTTGTAATAGTTCAATTATGTTGTGTGTTGTAGCACCTCTTGCATTTCCTCAGATGTGTGCTCATGGGTAGAGCTCATTACCTGAGCCACCACACCCACGTCTGCCCTCTCCTCATATACCTGTCCTTCACTTTGTCTCTGTGTCTGAGAGGTCTGACCTTCACACTTCTCTTCTGGCACATGCTCTGACACTGTGGTGGTGGTAATCTCTCCCTCTCTAGTGCAGCCTTGTTGGCCCAACTCTTTCACGGCACAAAGCAAAGCATCCAGAGCAGAGGAAGACTCGGACACACAGTGCACACCCTCCTCGCCTTCCTGTCTTGCTTCTCCTACGGTCTCCCCGGAAGACTCCACCAGCACGTACTGAGTGGTCTGCCCTCCTGTCACTGTAGACACTTCCCGACCAGATGTGATGAGCTGCCCATCCTCAGTGATGTGCAGCACTTCGGCCAGCTGACTAGACATAGCGAGGGTCTGTAAGGTGGCAGCAGCTGACTCCTCCAGGGCCTGATCGATGGCCACCTCTCCCCCGCCATAGCCCTGAATGATGATGACCTGCTGAACAGCGTCAGAACCCAGTTCACTCTCATCAGGGGCGAAAGTGGTGTCTGCTTGGACAAAGGTTGCCCCCTGTCCCTTCAGACGACACTCGAAGGACTTGGACACAATTCCTGCCACAAACATGGGAGAGAGTAGAAAGACATTTCTAGTTCAAGTCTGCCTGTAAACCATTTATGTTTGCTGCACAATAGACAAATAACATCCTGTACCTTAAAACAAAGTCAATTTGAGTAACATTTATTTTATTACTAGTCCCACAAGTCATTTATTTCTCCTGTTTCCAGCGCACACATCATTCCTATGGGAATGCAGACCTCTATTTTGTAGCTCAATATGACCATTTTATAAGAGACTGATCTGTCAGTTAATACTGAAAAAAGGCACAACAGGATCCAGATACAGCCAATATTAGCAATTATCATGACGTTTTCTTGGACCTCTTCATTGTCATCGTTAAAGGTGGGGTAAGCGATTTTTCAAAAACGCTTTAGAAAACTGATTCAGGCAGAGTAGCAAAACAAACTTGTAGCCAATCAGCAGTAAGGGGCGTGTCTACTCATGATGTGGAGGAGAGAGCGTTCAGTGCACAGGACGGACATTAGCCGAGCGACAGAAAGATAGAGGTGGCGGATAAAAAACAAAATAGGAAAACGTCTGCATAACAAAAGAAGGCTTAAGGCAATATGGCAAGATGTAGGACCCGTGTAAATATCAGATCAGCTTTCCAGCGCTGGAGAGAACTCAAGGAGCGGAGGCCTGCGATCGGACGCCGAGGTTGCTTTGTTTCTTCTCGATAGGTGAGTAACACCGTGTCTGCGCCGCAACAGCTAAAGTCTGTCAACAAAGCGACCGTTGAGAGTTCTATAGTATTTTGTCACGCCGCGCCACTCGCGTCTGGTGTAGACACGGTGTAACATTGGTTTTGCTTTGTTTCACAGAACTAATCGTTGCCTGGGTTGTGTACGTATTTGTGGAGCGGAGCTATCAAAATAGGGGCGAGACCCTTTTGGGGTAGGAGCGTGTTTGTTTTGGTGATTTCAAATGTCAACATTGGCTACAAGAAATCGCTTACCCCACCTTTAAAGGGGTCCTATTATGCCTCTTTTTACAAGATGTACAAGAAGTCTCACGTGCCCCCAGAATGTGTCTGTGAAGTTTCAGCTCAAAATACTTAAAATACCCACAGATAATTAATTATTCCACACTGTAAATGCCCTTTTTTGAGTGGAAGCAAAAACATACCGTTTTTGTGTGTATCTCTTTAAATGCAAATTAACACTTTTGTCATTTGTCAAATAAACACAAAGTTATGTCAAGAACACACAGTTTACATTAACTGTAGACCAAAGTATTAAATATGAAAACTGAAAATATTTGAGGATAATTTCGGTTTTGTTTTAGTTATAAAGCAAGGCATGATTATTTCAGTTAATTTTCCTTTTTTGAATTTATTTCATTTTTCTAGGTTATTTTTTGGAATTTCATTTTAGTTTTAGTTTAAGTCCAGTTAACTATAATAACCTCGCTATCTATGGGACACGGATGGGAACTCATGCATTTCAGCGTGAAAGAGAAGGCTCAGGGTTTGATCAGATATCTCTCCTTTTATCTTATTAAGATAACAAGATGGAAGGTGCAAGACAGACGTGGTACCTGCATGTAAGTAAGCCAGGTCTGGGTTCTCAATGTCAGGGTGAGTCTCTTTGAGATGATTTCTGAAGTCCATCGGGGCATTGGTGGCATAGCTGCACTTGGGACAGTTATACATCTTCACCCCCTCATGCTTGCCTGTGTGCAGGATGTGTTTTCGGATATTCTCTGCACAGTTAGATCTGATAAAAGAAGGTACACATTCTATGCAAATCCATACAACAACCAAAAAATGTTCAACAAAAGAAGAGAAGAGAAGCAACTTGACAGCATCATCATCATTATTATTAATAATGATCAATTATTAATAAAGGTTCTGATGATTACAAATGTATAAAACCGTTTTTGCTGCTTGATATTTTTGTGGAAAACCGTTATGATCCACCCCCCCCACCCAGTTATTTTGAACTTTGATTAGAAAGTTCAAAAGAACTGCATTTATTTGAAGTAGAAATCTTCTGTAACATTTTAAATGTCATTACTGTCACTTTTGATCAAGCTTGTTCCTGTGCCTTGTTTTAACCCTCATTATCTTAGGTATTTATATTCCCCTGTTCAGTTCTGTTCTTTGTCTGTTCTTGTCTGTAGTTAATGGTTTAGTTTTCTGTTCTCCTAGCATTCCTTAGTCTACACTTATCCTACAGGGTTCTTTTTCCAGACTTCTGTGTAGACTTTCAGACACTATTTCATAGTAAAATCAAATGATTGAGTGTGTAACAATTAAAGGTATTTGAATAAAGGTTCAATTCACAATTTGGTACTCTCACAATACTACAAACTAATGTTGTCACAGTAACAA